TAGACCGGAAGTGCTGGCTTCTGGTCGTTGTAGGGTTGTGTTGGCACAGTTGTTACTTTAACCATGATTATTGGTGGATGGATCTCTCTGATCAAGAACAAGTAGTGTTGTGTGTGTGTGTGAGGAGAGAAGAGGGAGAGAGAGAGAGAAAGAGCTCTTCTTTCCTGCTTGATTACCGAATAAGATTCTTCCTTTCTGAAACAGTAAAAGTGAGCATCGGTAAAAACAAAGTGATTGAACAACAATACATCATGCTGATGTGCTGACGGAATAATAATTGAGTGGTTACCCCGCGCGCATCGGGAACGATAACAAGAAGCCAAGTAATCTTTACAAAAGATCTTTAAGAAATACACACACACAGAGCGAGCGAGGGAGGGAAAGCTGCACATGCACAACACACACGGAGGAAGATACGCTATCTCATCACACACACGAGACCTTGCTTTCGTTCTTTATCACGCATAAATCACGGAAAATTTGGGAAGGCCCGACGATAAGAAACAATCGTTTCTTGTTTCTTCTTTGCTTTTCCTCTTCTCTCTATCCCAATACAACACACACACACCCACTGGGCTCACAAAACAGCACAGCACCCTTTCTTATTCTTTTTTCACCCTATCTTGATTATTATCCTACTACTACTATCCCCCCTACTCTTTGACAACACAACAACAGATGGAACCCACTGAAAATGTTTCATGGGCCCAAGCCATTCCAGCAGCGCAAGGTCTATACGACCCGACCTACGAAAAGGACTCGTGCGGTGTGGCTTTACAGTGCACATCAAAGGAGGCCGGTCCCACAAGATTCTAAGCGACGCGTCTGACCTCCTGTGCAACATGACGCATCGTGGTGCAAGTGGCGCCGATATCCGGGATGGCGATGGCAGTGGTGTGATGACAGGCATGCCCGACAGCTTTTTCCGCATCGAAGTCAAGCGCGAGCTATCGATCGACTTGCCACCCGAGGGCCACTATGCGGTCGCAACATTTTCATGAAACAGGACACCATGCAAGAGAGCAAGCGAGTGTTTGAGCAGCTGGCTGATGCTTTGGGTTTGCAAGTCCTTGGCTGGCGCACAGTGCCTCGAGACACCTCCATCTTGGGTCCGGCCGCCCGCTCCAAAGAGCCTGCGATCGAGCAGCCCTTTGTCTCGTTTCGTGAAAAGATGGATTCTAAACAGTTTGAGCGTCAACTCTATCTGTTGCGTAAACATGCCACGCATACAATCACAATGAAGAAATGGTTTTATGTCTGTTCGCTGTCGACGAAAAACATTGTTTACAAGGGCCAGCTTACGCCGCGTCAGGTAGCCCTTTTGAGTTCATACAACACACAAGATTGTTTTCTCCTTCACTGACTTGCCTTTTTTTCATTCTTCTGTGCTTTAGGTCTATGCCTACTTTTATGATCTTGTCAATGTCAAATATACCACCCATTTTGCACTTGTCCACTCAAGGTAACGCTACGTGTATATATATATATATATATATATATATGTGTGTGTGTGTGTGTGTGTTTGTACACTTCTCATAACACTGGCTTCTGTCTGTTTGCAAAAGATTTTCGACAAACACATTTCCATCGTGGGATCGATCACAGCCTATGCGTTGGTGTGCACACAACGGTAAATTCTCGCTTTCATCACTTTTTGTAAAGAGAGAGGGGTTGTTACTGACACAACTTTTTTCCAAATAGGCGAAATCAACACATTGCGTGGAAACAAAAACTGGATGCGCTCGCGGGAAGGTATGATGACTTCAGACACATTTGGAGACCAGCTCGAGTTGTTGTACCCGATCATTGAAGAAGGTGGATCCGACTCTGCCGCGTTTGACAATGTTCTCGAACTCCTCGTTGTCAACGGCGTCTTGACACTTCCCGAAGCCGTCATGGTCATGATCCCCGAGGCATGGCAAAACAATCCCTTGATGGAACCAGAGAAAAAGGCATTCTATCAGTGGGCTGCATCCATCATGGAACCCTGGGATGGTCCTGCACTATTCACGTTTGCAGATGGTCGCTATTGTGGCGCTTCCCTGGACCGTAATGGGCTACGTCCTTGTCGATTCTATTTGACCTCCGAAGATATCATGATCTGTGCTTCTGAGGTCGGCACATTGCGTGTGGATCCTGAACTCGTGGTCAAAAAGGGTCGCTTGCAACCTGGAAAAATGCTGTTGGTTGATACGGTCGAAGGAAGGATTGTGGTAAGGTGTTACTTATTCCTGCTATCATGGCTGTGTATATAAATATCTATATATATGACACCCAACTACTTGTCTATGTCAGTCTCTCACATAATTATTGCTTCCTCTCTCTTTCTGAATGTATAGGATGACAAAGAGCTGAAGCTAACAACGGCGGCCAAGGCGAAATTCACAGAATGGATTCAACAACGTATCAGCATGCAAGATCTTGTGAAAGGCTACAAGGATGAAACCAATGTTGAGTTGGATGATAACACCATTCACACCGATCCTCGCTTGAAAGCCTTTGGATACACGCTCGAACAACTCAACCTGCTGCTTATGCCAATGGCATCCGACGGCAAAGAGGCACTTGGATCCATGGGCAATGATACAACGCTCGCTTGTCTTGCCAAGCAGCCGCGTCTCATATACGAATACTTTGACAGCTATTTGCTCAAGTGACTAACCCGCCTATTGGTACGTTTATTTAAAGACTCGTAAGTTTGATAATATACTTTGAAATCTAAAACGAGGCAATCTTTACATCCACGCCATAGATCCGATCCGCGAGGAAATTGTAATGTCATTGGAATGCTATGTTGGACCGGAGGGCAATTTGCTAGAGATTGAGCCGTCACAATGCAAACGGTTGACTCTGCCGTCACCCATTTTATCCATGCAAGAGTTTGCGGCTATCAAGGGAATGGAGAAACACTATGCGGACTGGCAAGTAGCGACGATCGACATTACTTTTGCACGCACAGAAGGTGTGGACGGGTACTTGACAGCGTTGGAACGTGTATGTAACGAAGCGACCGAAGCGATCGACCAGCACAAAAAAGTGATTATTTTGTCCGACCGTGCCATGGGAGCTGACCGCGTCGCCATCTCTTCCTTGATTGCCTTGGGCGGTGTGCACCATCACCTTGTACGCAACAAGTTGCGTAGCCGAATCGCATTGATGGTCGAATCGGGTGAGGCACGCGAGGTACATCACTTTTGTGTCCTGCTTGGATATGGTGCGGATGCCATATGTCCTTATCTTGCCTTTGAAGCCATGCTCAAACTCCACCGAGAACGGGCTGTCCGAGACGATCTTACACCGGAGAAAATTATTTACAATTATCGCAAGGCCGCCGACAACGGCATCCTCAAGGTCATGTCCAAGATGGGTATCTCGACCTTGGCATCCTACAAAGGCGCACAGATTTTCGAAGCCCTCGGTATCGACCACACTGTCATTTCCCGATGTTTTGCCGGCACTGCCTCACGTATCAAGGGCATCACTTTTGACACGTTTGCATTGGACGCATTGACGTTGCATGAAGCCGGATATCCACTCCGCAATCGTGTGCAACCTTTGGCATTGCCCGAATCGGGTGAATACCATTGGCGTGACGGTGGCGAGCCGCATATTGCTGATCCTGTCGGTATGGCAAACTTGCAAGATGCTGTCCGGAAAGATAACCAGGCCTCGTATGAGGCGTATGCTCGGAATGCGTATGAAGCTATCCGCCAATGCACGTTGCGTGGCATGCTGGAATTTGATGAAGAGAAATTCAAGCCTATATCGCTGGATCAAGTCGAGCCATGGACAAATATCGTCAAACGGTTTGTTACTGGTGCCATGTCTTATGGCTCCATCTCCATGGAAGCCCATGCGTCGCTCGCTGTTGCGATGAACAAACTCGGTGGCAAGTCAAACACCGGTGAAGGTGGTGAAAAGCCAGAACGATCGATACCAAGACCCAACGGTGACAATCTTCGGTCAGCCATCAAACAGGTGGCATCCGGCCGTTTCGGTGTCACCAGCTACTATCTGTCGGATTCTGACGAGTTGCAGATCAAGATGGCCCAGGGCGCAAAGCCTGGTGAAGGTGGTGAGTTGGCAGGTACAAAAGTATCTGAAGAAATTGCCAGTACTCGTAAAACAACACCGGTAAAGTGTTTGCTCATATGAAAAGGGAAGAGGGAGAAATTTTTTTTTCTCTCAAGCAACTAACAAGTTCTGTTATTTGATAAGGGTATTGGCTTGATCAGTCCTCCGCCTCATCACGATATTTATTCGATCGAGGATTTGAAACAGCTTATTTATGATCTCAAGAGCTCTAGCCCACGCGCACGCGTATCCGTCAAACTGGTCTCTGAAGTCGGCGTCGGCATCGTTGCTGCAGGTGTAGCCAAGGCCAAGGCAGACCATATCCTGATTTCCGGTCATGATGGTGGTACAGGCGCTTCACGATGGACGGGTATCAAATACGCCGGCTTGCCTTGGGAGCTGGGGTTGGCTGAAACACATCAAACGCTTGTTCTTAACGATTTGCGGGGTCGCGTCGTTGTTCAAACCGATGGTCAGATCAAAACAGGTCGTGATGTTGCCATTGCCTGCTTGTTGGGTGCTGAAGAATGGGGATTTGCCACCACACCTTTAATTGCTCTTGGATGCATCATGATGCGTAAATGTCACTTGGTAATGACCTTGTCTCTCTCTCTCTCTCTTTTTTCTATATAAAAAAAACCTTGTGTATATTATTTACTAAAGTAAGAATTTTAGAACACTTGCCCAGTCGGTATTGCCACCCAAGATCCCGAATTGCGAAAAAAGTTCGAAGGTCATCCAGAGCATGTCATCAACTTTTTTCACTACGTTGCTGAAGAACTACGTGGTCTTATGGCCAAACTCGGTTTTCGGACGATCAACGAGATGGTAGGACATACGGAAGTTCTTAAAACCAACGACAGTTTGCGGACGTACAAGACTGCCAACATTGATTTGTCACCTATCCTGACACCTGCACACACACTGCGACCTGGCGTGGCCACTTTTTGCGTCCGCAAGCAGCAACACAATCTATACACGCGTCTCGACAATTATCTTGTAGATGAGAGCGAACCAGCGCTCGAGCGCAAAGAAAAGGTGCATATTGATTCCGACATTGTCAATACGGATCGTGCTGTTGGTGCCACGCTTTCTTATCATGTCTCGAAACGGTTTGGTGAAAATGGATTGCCTGGAGATACGATCCATGTCAAGTTTACCGGATCTGCCGGTCAGTCGTTTGGTGCGTTCTTGGCACCGGGGATCTTTTTTGAATTGGAAGGCGATAGCAATGATTACGTTTGCAAGGGTCTATCCGGTGGTACTGTTGCTATTTATCCTCCTCGTGCAAGCACGTTCAATGCCAGCGAGAACATTATTGTTGGCAATGTTTGTTTGTACGGCGCGACAGGCGGTCGGAGCATTCTTTTCCGGTGTTGCTGCCGAACGATTCTGTGTACGTAACTCGGGTTGCCAGTGCGGTTGTGGAAGGCGTTGGTGACCACGGTTGTGAATACATGACAGGCGGTCGTGTAGTGATCCTTGGCGACGCAGGCAGAAACTTTGCAGCCGGCATGTCTGGCGGTATTGCTTATGTATTGGACATGGAAAGCGCATTGAAAGAAAAAGTCAATATGGAAATGGTGGAGCTCGAGACCATCGACACGCAGGAAGAGATCGACGAGGTGCGACAGCTCATTGAAGACCATCAACACTACACAGGATCGCAAAAGGCTGCCGAGGTATTACAAATTTTGATACCTACTTGTCCAAGTTTGTCAAAGTCATGCCGATAGAGTACCGTCATCTGCTGGAAAAACAAAAGCAAGCCTCATCGACAACAACAACAACGATTCAGCAAGACATGGTCACAAAGAAGAATGAGCCTACTATTGATGATGTTGAGGATAGTTTGTTGGATGAAAAGGCGATTATGGAACGACGCACGAAATTGGACAAGATGCGTGGTTTCATGAAGTATAAACGTCGTGTTGACCCTTATCGAGATGCCAAGGCACGAACCGATGATTGGAAAGAAATCAACCACCGATTAACCCGTCCTCAGTTACATGAACAAGCGGCTCGGTGCATGGATTGTGGTGTACCGTTCTGTCAGTCGGATACAGGCTGTCCTATTGGTAATATCATCCCCAAATGGAACGAGCTCATTTACAAGGATCACTGGAAAGACGCTCTTGACCGTCTTGTCATGACCAACAACTTTCCTGAATTTACTGGTCGTGTCTGGTAAGTAGCCATGTTTTTCCTTGCTCTAGAAAAAGGAGTGATATTTTTCTGACCCGGATTAACCAACCTCCTGTACCTTTTGCAGTCCTGCGCCATGTGAAAACAGCTGTGTTCTTTCTATCAATGAGCCCGCAGTTGCAATCAAGAGCATTGAATGCGCGATCATTGATCATGGCTTTAAAGAAGGGTGGATTGTTCCTCAACCGCCTGCAAATCGAACAGGCAAGAAAATCGGCATTATTGGATCTGGTCCAGCTGGTCTTGCTGCTGCGGATCAATTGAACAAGGCTGGACACTCGGTTACTGTCTATGACCGCAACGATCGCATGGGCGGTCTTTTGATGTACGGCATTCCGAACATGAAGCTCGACAAGAACGTCGTACAGCGCCGTATAGATCTGCTTGCTGCAGAGGGTGTTACATTTGTACCTAATGCACACATTGGCGTTGATATGGATGCAAACGGCTTGCGCGACGAGAACGATGCTCTTGTTATTGCTACGGGTGCTACGTGGCCACGTGACCTGAAGATCCCTGGACGCGATGCGAATGGAGTTCATTTCGCAATGGAGTTCTTGCAAGCCAACACCAAGTCACTATTGGACTCAAACCTCGAGGACGGACACTACCTCTCTGCCAAAGATAAACATGTTGTTGTGATTGGCGGTGGCGATACCGGTAACGACTGTATTGGCACATCTGTCCGTCATGGCTGCAAATCGGTGATCAACTTTGAGCTTTTGCCACAACCGCCCAACACGCGCGGCAGCGATAATCCGTGGCCCCAATTTGCTCGGATCTTTAGAGTTGAATATGGCCATTCTGAAGTGCAAGCCCATTTCGGCAGAGATCCACGGGAATACTGTGTCTTATCCAAGGAGTTTACTAAAAATGCTGACGGCAATGTGACTGGAATTAATACGGTTCGTGTGGAATGGACAAAGGATGGCACCACAGGTCGCTGGTCAATGAAAGAGGTCGAAGGATCGGAACAGTTCTTTGAGGCGGATCTTGTCTTATTGTCGATGGGATTCTTGGGCCCTGAAGAATCTTTGGTCAATCAATTGTCGCTCAAGCAGGATGCTCGCACTAACATTGAAACACCCAAGGGCAAATATAGCACCACCGTGCCAGGCGTGTTTGCTGCTGGCGACTGTCGGCGTGGACAATCGCTCATTGTCTGGGGTATCAATGAAGGAAGACAATGTGCGCGTGAGGTTGACTTGTGGCTAGAAGGAAAAACGTATCTTCCAGTCGCCGGTGGTATCAATCGTCGTGCCATTGTTGACAATCGCACCGCTGTGGATGTGCGTGCTTAAATTGGCAAGAACTTCTTCTAAGGATTACATACATGTATCTCTCTCTTCCTTTCCATTTATTATACACTGTACAAAAATAAGCCTATGTATATAAATCAAATGATAGCCCTCAGTTAATCAGCGTAAAAATGTCCTCAAGTACGAGATGTTTTTATATAATTTGACAGTCGTTTATCTACAACACTAATTTGATGATAGTGAACTGCTTCTGTAGTAATTTGCAGCTGGTAAAGTCGTCAATTGTCGGTCGTCATTGTTAGAATAAGGTCTTAGGCAGCAACAACAGCAGCAGCAGTAACTAATATTACCACAAGTCGTCATCTGTCATTGCTTTTTCTTGTCGTCCCGAACCTAAGGTCCACTCTTAAAAAAACCAGTATAGTATCGTGTTGAGAAAAAACAGTGCACCGAGCGACTTTAGCAGAAAGAACCCGTTCTTTTTATACAGTTGCGAAGGGATATACTGTGGACCGGGTATCTAAAAAAAAAGACAAACCACGATTGGGACGAATGAGTTTTATTACTCTTTTGCTACGAATGAGCTCTCATTTTATTACCAGCTGCATAAGTTCTGATCGCGCTCCATTCCAGTGATTGGGGTATACAAACTTCATTGACTCAATACTCGTAGAACTCTATAGACGAAGTAAAAGGTTTTATACACGTTTAAAGATTCGCCCCAGCCGTTTTTTTCTTATTGTTGCCTTGTTTATATTTACCAATGGAGAAGTCATGGCGAGAAGTTGAGGGGAAACAAAATACAAGAGCTCACTCTTTTAGCGGAGACAGCTGGAGCACAGGACCGGTCTTGAACCGCTGAGAGGGAGGGTGTGGGTGGAATGCGGGTGATCGGGGAGAAGGTGGGGGTAATAAGCGGTTGCAGGCTTGATGGACCGAAACTCGCCGATAAGGCATAGATGACTGGTTCCCAACGCGTGCTTATCCTTTTTCGCTTGCACCTTGTTCTATGCTACTTGTAAACCTTTTATTCCGGCCCGCCACAAACCAAAGAAAAATGTACAGTAAACCCCCGTTAAATACACCCCCTATAATTGCAACCCTCATCAATATCAACGTTTTCAGAAAAAAAGCTTTTCAAAACATAGTGAATTTGCAACTTTTCCGCTTTAATGAAACTTCACCACATCGGAAGGGTGTTGATATTAAAATTTAATCAGCTTTGTCCTTTATTATATGTTAATTTCTATTGGAAGAAGAGAAAAATCGCGTCAAGCGGGATTGTTGGCTGTATAATTCTTGTACAAGCTTGGTACGGAGGGTTGTAAGTGCTGTAAGTGCAGCAACAATGTCATTATCCAAACTATCTTCGGCATCAAAAATATGAAAAAGGTTAAGCATGGCCGTTGCCTTTTCTCTTGCAGACAAGTTAACAATGTTGGTGCTTGGATTGTTGGCGGATTCCGTGGCTGTAGACTCTTCGTTGATAGATATTTGTTGCATGTCCTCTGTAATTAATTCTATAATTTCATCGTCACTGTAATTGCCATGGATTATCTGGCGTTCATGGTCAGGATCAACTTCAGATGTTGGACATTTGTCGATGCTGATATTTGCGATGGACGCAATTTGTTCGATTTGTTGTTGTAAATGTTGCTGCATGAAAAGGTCTTGATGCGTAATGGCATTGACTGCTTCAGGTGATGCGTCGTCCTCTTGCGCCGTCATTCGATGAATACTAGCATTTCAGCAATTGACAATTGTTTCTCGCTTGATATTGTCCACCTCATGGCTTGCAATTGGCTGACATCGAACAATTTTGTTCAACCAGACCAACGACTTCTGGACGACCTATTTGTGTCATACTTATTTGACAGTAGGCCTTGTCAAATTGCATTCGTTTATAATGAGCTTTGAAAGCTCGGATGATCCCACCATCGAGCCGCTGTAGCTTTGCAGTAGTGTTTGGCAGCAAGAAAAATAATTCGACATTCGTGAGCACAGCATCAATAGCATGGCCGCTAAAGTTGTCAAGAACAAGTAAGACACGTCGATTTTGGTAACGCATGGCTTTATCGAAACGCGTGATATAGTGCTCGAAAATGTTTCGCTTCATCGATGCCTTTTGATTATAAAAGTAAAACCGAAAACCGAGCTCGTACGCTTCTTTTCACTTGCCGGTCGAGTCCACAAAGCATGTAGGTTTCTTGTGTTTGCCAATTATCATCGGTTCCCATTTTTCTGAGCCGTCTGCATTGCACAAAAGAGCAACCGTGAGCCGTTTTTTGTTTTCCTTGAATCTAGAGAACCCTTTTTGGGCGATGGTAGTCCAAGGCTGGGCAGTGAAGAACAATGCTGTTTCATCAATATTCTATATATCACGTCGATCATATTGAGAAAGTTTGTCGCGTATTTTGTCCCTGTTTTCGAGAATGGCATTCACGTCAACAGATTCGTCTTCACCATGAAGTGTATGTTTATGTAGCCCATGACGTCGAGCAAAATGGTGCATCCACCCGTTCGACCCTTTGAAATCCTTGCCCAAGCGTTCTGCAAAGTTAACCGCCTTAGTATGAACCATGCTCCAAGTGACCAGGATATGATTGTTTTCGGCGACGTTTAACCACAGCATTACAGTATCCTCGACTTCCTATATACGTTGTAGCCATGTGTTTTGAGCTCGTTAATATTATACTGTTTTAATTGATTATTGCATTTATAATTATATCGAAACATATGGGAAATCTGCCCTTTTGAAGCCTGCTTCTGGTTTCGAGATGAATTACACCTTCTTCCTCTTCCTTTTCCATGTATGCAATAAGCCTTGAAATAGTTGACTTGTCCGGAGAGTTTTCAAGTTTGAACCTTGTAGTTGCCTAGGAAATTAACATTGAATAGGTAAACTTTTTCACTTTGTTTTTTTCTTTGTAATGCTTGAACAGCTCCTGACATTGATAATTGGTGAATGATACATTCTTTCTATGATGCTCTTGACGTGTTTTGGCCATTATAATAATGCAAAAGAAGAGCACGATCAAGAAACTGAAGGAAGTGATGATAAGTTCCTTTTTTTTCGAGGTAAAACTTTTCAGCGAATGGTCAGGGACCACAGCCTAAACATTGATCCATTTCGACAAATGCAACCCTCACTAATTATAACCTTTATTAGAAAAATCTTCAGTTGTATTTAACGGGGGTTTACTGTATGAAATTTAATGTAAATGGAAAGACTATCCTGAAAGTGATAATAGTTGGCTTACCATAGAAAAATTCAATCAAAAAACTTTACTTTCTAAATATTTACATGAATATAATCTTGGTTTATTATAAATGACTATATAATAGCTATAATTATATATAAGTAGTTGCTATACTATTTAATTAAAATGTAATTTCTATAAAACTTAGGAGAAAATTTGACAATAAGACCTTAATGATAAAAAGTTTTTTTTTTCTTTCTAGCAATAAGAAAAATTACTATATATAGAGTAAACCTAAAGATTCTATAAACAATTTACAATTGTAAATTAATTATAAATACCTTTAATTTTTAAAAAAAACTAATTTCTTTTCTTTTTTTAAAAAATCTCATCTTAATATTTGTTTAAAATTCCTGTCTGAAACAGGAATTTATTTTGATCAGATGATCAAAATTTAACTACCATATATAGTAATTACTATAAAAGGAAATAATTTAAAATAAAAGCTTGAAGCAATTCAAACATTTTTATAAAACCTCAAAGTCCTACTGCGTCCAGCGAGGTCCCCAGGAATTGAAACCCAACGGGACTTGGTCAATTTTTAAGCCAGTTATCTTGCTCAAAGGGAATAAATAAGTGATTTATATTCACTCCAAGTCCCCCAGCGTAAAGAAAGCAGTCCATACTGCATTACAACGAGCGGAAGCTAATTTTGTTAAAGGGGTTGCTCTTGAAAACTACCTTCACCATTTCGATTACTGAATCAATTTGTACATCTTTCTATGTGATGACCGCGAAAATCGTAATAAAAATGGTACACTAACTTAATGTTAGAATTATACACGATACTTAAAACATATATAAGTACAATAGAGAGCAAACAGTTAAACGCCAGTGTTTCTCGCGTGTTTTTCTTATTGTAATAAACCTAGACAACAGATAAGCTACCATAGATACTCACTAGACGATCAACATGATTGTAGAGAGAAAAACAATCTGGTAAAGTAAAAGGCGATCAATATCTTATCGGTATGAGATTCTCATTTGAGGACAGCACCATGGTTCATGACACCATAGAAGAAGTGCGTGATAATCAAGTGCAACAATAACAGTCTGTATCTACTATGCCAGAGGACAGTTTGGTGCTAATCTCTTTGACCACGGGTGTTTTTGGTTTCTTAGAATTATAACGCAAAAGAACACTGGCCACTCTATTATCTAGAGCATCGACGAGTTGCGCAGTTGTTTCACGTCGTCCTTATATAACATCATTGCAATGAACAGTCTGGTCTTAGACAACATAAAATGCAGCACGCACCATTGTCCATACATAAGAATAAGGTAAGCTATGGTACTCTTGTGATATCTGATATATGATAGCTTTTAAATTCGAAAATAAATGCCTGCAGTCAGTGAAACCCGTACTTATGCTACTGTTATCGATTAGTTAGTAATGACAATAATCATGCTTGGAAATCTGTAATGGCTGAATCGTTAATGTTATTGAATAAAAGAAAGTCGAAGCTGGTGGAAAAAAGAGGCGACTATGACCAATGAAGAGCAAAAGCAGAAATTGAAGGTGAAAAGAAATCTATAATATGTAAAAGAGGTGAGGGTGAGGGAAAAGTTCAGAAGATTTGATGCAAACGCATGTGAAATAACGTTACTAAATGTAATGTGTATGTGTGCGTTGTGTAAGTGAGCTGGGATAGTAAAAGAAGAGAGAGAGAGAGAGCGAGAGAGAGAGAGAGCGAGAGAGACAGAATGACAAAGAGACACAACAGAAAATTAGCAGAACAGCAGAGGCAGAGTGGTAACGAAGAGACATATAGATGATGGAGAGAGAGAGAGGTAGAGAGCAATAGCGAAGAGAGAGAGAGAGCGAGAGAAGCGGAAAATATAAAGACGTGTGAGTGGGAGCATAGGAAAGCTAGTTATTGAAGAAAAGATTTGGGTTTTCAGCAA